TAAATTACCTACTCGCATAATTCATTATGTGATGTAATGTAATAACCTTAATAAATAAATTAAAATCGACGACCTCGAATTGCATTCATCAGAGTCAAAGCATAATTTCGCCGAAGACGCAGCAAAAAGCTCGCTTTAACATCACGAGTGCAACGACCCCTGTTTACAATACCTAACCAGATAATAACCTAATACCGGTTGCCTGTAATCTGCTAATGCTATTTACCGGTACACTGGCTCGGAAACGGTGCGACCGGTTGGTTATTGGAATATTCTCACGCATTACGTTTCTCACCTCGTTTGCACCAAGCGATTTGTAATCGAGAATATCGAAAACATTTCAGAGTTTCTTCAACGGTCGGTTTGCTCGTTCATGCAAATGTATTCTAATAGATTGTTCTAATTAGATTCTGCATACTGGATTGATGTATTCAAATTAAAAACAGATTCCGTTAGTTTATCATCGATGTCGCGGGTATTACCCGGACAGTACTACAGTGCAGTAATTTCATTGAAGTAAATTCCAAAGCATATTATGACAGATATAAAACCTTATTTTGCACAATGATTTAAGAAGAAAAAAACATAAACCTGCGTAACTTCTATCTGAGTTAATTTCATGTAATATCATATGTATGAAACAGTAAATGCTTAACCTAAGTTAAGTAAGCTTCCTAAGAAGCACTGCCAGTTATTTGAGCACCGTGGAAATAGTGTATAGTAGTAGGTAGGTATAAGGTAAATCAAGGAAAAAGGAAAGGAAAATGTTAGCATTACAATTCCGGGAAAAGGGTGATATCAAATATGGGAAAATTGTCAGTTCAATGATACGTAACCCTACACTATTCAATTTACGCTTTCTTTTACGGATAAAAATATTTTTTATAGAGACAGGAACCGACCAGACGTAAAGTTAGTCATTATTGTGTTAAAGGCACGTCCTGTGATCAAAGGATTCACCCATGCTGTGTGTGACGTCATGCACATCAGACTCTACATTTTGATGCAAAATCAGTCTTATTACAAGTACATAAGATGCCGCAGTGTTTAGCGTGTTGTGCAGTCGACAGCACGTCACTGAGTAAATCGTTTCTGCATCTATTTTAATAATAATGTAAAACCTAATTTAACGGTGATTGCTTGTACCTAGAATATGACTAGAAATCTTGAAGGGAGGGTTAAAAAAAATGAGTTCTCTTGAGAACTTAATACTTATTACATATAACATTAAATTTTTACTTCTGTTCCAAATGGGAAGGAAAAGAAAGAGAACTGTAATAAATAAACTTTTAGAATGCCAGAATCAGAAATAATAATGTAACAACAACAAAACAAGGAGTAAAGAACTATTTATACGTGGTTTTTATACAATTACCTTATCGAGGCAATGTCAATGAGTTTGCTTAGCTTTTAGTCAAATAGTATTTTTATCGGACATGAATAATTTAGGTTTAGATATGATACGAGGAGAGTAGGTTTTTGCGTATTTGCAACAATTTGACAAGGGTATAAATTGATGTAGATACTGCGATTTATTTTAATTAAAAGCAATACATTTCTATTTTTATTTATTTCATGCACAAGTCGTTTCATTTGGATTAGTTTCGCTGTTAAGATTCCTGCTTAAAAGAAAAAATAATAATTGATTAATAATATAAGATTTCATTTGATTCGTTTAGTTTTATAAAAACATCTCAGATAAATTTTTTATAAAATAACGGCTTGTAGATTTGTTGGAATCATAATTATTCACTATTAAAATGCATCAGCATGTAGCTTGAAGTTAATTGAAATGAAAATATTAAACAGGGCAGATGTTTGAAGACGTCAGCAAAACATTTCCCGTCGACCAAAAATAAGTAAAACGAACGAAGGATCGGTGTCGCGTTACGACACAAAATATCGCATGTTCTTACCACAGACTGAGTCATAGTGATGCATGTGCGTAATTCCTTCTTTTTCCTTGTAATTCCATTAAAATACAGAGTCACTCATTCTTTAAACTTTCTATGGCTACCTGGATGACATGGCATACCCTTTAGTACTGTGTAGCTGTTAGTTTGTGAGATCGATTCCTGTCTTTGCAGATGGTATGAGCATAAACTATCTATATTATGGTATGTGTATTTTCGTGATTATAGAGTGGGCTTTTTAGTAGGTGTGGAGTCATTGTTGCAAAAATGTAAAGTATACAAAATAATTTTTATATTCTGTGCATACGAGTATACGTAAATAGTAAATGAAGTAAAGCTCGTACAAGATACATAAAATAACTAAATATACACTATGTACAATTTACTGCAGTATTTCGATAAAACCCGGAAAATTCCCGGTTTGCATCGTCTATCAATGTTTGTTACGGACAGCTGTTGGAATCAGTGTAGTGTTTTGTTTTACCTATCAGTGGTTTTCAGAATCGTTAGATTCCCGCGTGGGTTAGACTTCGTAGTAAACATTTGGGAAACTATTCATCTCATTGATGGAAGGAATTGATTGATTATTTTTTTTTAAACTTCCTATAAGTGTAATAAATAAATGAATGAAATATCAAAGTTTACTAAACAAATATGGTGGTACTACCCGTTTGCGCTAAGTTTGTCGATCCGTGAAATCCGCGTTCCCTCCCCCAACCGCGATTAAACGCAATTACACATTAATTGCGTATTCTTAGTCTTATTTTACGCAAATACACAATTTTTATCAATAATAATAAATAAAAAAATATTATAAATATAGTTTGTTAAAGTTATAGACGCTTTCCTTCGAATGACGTCATATCGCCAGCGGCAAACTTAGCGCGAACGGATAGTAGAGTTCCTGTTAAATTGCTTTTGCCATCAAAACAAAAACAAATTGCTATAAACTGCTACCATCTATTAAAAGCAAAAAGGTGGAACATGCATTTTCCTTATGGATGCCATTGCAATTTGTTGGCTACCACAGTCTTAATTGAAATAGGTAACCTACGTATTTATGAATGAAATAACCTACCTACATTGTAAAATTCACTGACATATGCGGTCATGCAGTAGAGGTACACTGCAGTGCACTGAAACAACATTCATTTTATTTATTTATTTATGTAAATCTAATTTGAAATTAACGTGGAAGAGCGAGGTAGGTACTACCAACAGAAGAATCTAACGATTACTTTCTGGAAGGCCCCGACAATTTTATTGTACAAGATTTACTGATATAAACCATTTTTATTTTTTTTATTTCTTACATTCAATATTATTTTTAATAACATTTCTGACTATAGAACAGTTAAAATTAAGTCATCAAGTGAGTCATTGTCCGAATCATCGACGCGCCCACAAGTTTGTTTGCACATGTGACTGTTATCGTGTTTGTTTTTTGATCAAACGTCCTGGCCCTATTATAGTGATAATTTGTAATATCTACAGGTGCTTTATTTGAAGAGTTAATTATTTATTTACCACTGTGATTTAATTATAAAACTATTTAAACTGACCAAAATCAACACCTGGTAAAGATACGTGAGCTAATTTAATTGTAAAGATTTTCACATCTTTAAAAAGTTGCAGTAGACAGTTTACAAAAGCATGCTTTATTCAGCATTCCATTCACATACCATCATCTCGTAAGCACTGCCTTAATTTGGCTCATTAAAGAGGTTTACTCAGACTACAAACTGGTTGACGACATGGACTCTACATTAGCAAAAAATCTGCATTCCGAAGCGAACTCAAATTTGGAAACAAGGATATAATGAGTGATGATAATAAACTCACATTAAATGAAGCCTAGGCACACACCACCGATTTTCAGTTGGCCGATAGTTAGGCCCGATTCTAATTTGTATGGAGAATCGGGCGATACCAAATCGGTGTAATCTGCGCACTTTCATACATCTCCGTACTGATTAACAGCCCGACTCAACTATTGGTCATTGGATTGTCATTATGTATTTTATTTTATTGATTAGGACAACCAACAAGACAGCACGCATACAAGAAAATTAATTTTTATAACTTTTTATTGTGTATAAAATAGCATCTATTACCACAGATTAAGTTACTAATGAGATTACTCAATTACAATTAAATAAGATGCCTCAGTGCGTAGCTTGACATCTCTACATCATTCTTTTTTAAACAAATCAACTCGGCACTCAAGGCTTATCCAGCGTCGAGTGTGTTAATGATGATGAAACTACAAAAAATAACTTCTTATTTCCACACATAACATTTTTTGCAATCCAATGTGATTAATGATTGCACTTACACCCGATAAGTCATTCGCTCGTCCTCGTTTTGTTTTCTTCGGAGTTCAATAACCTTTAAGACCGGTTAATTTTGTAATTAAAAGTAAAATTCCACAGAACTCATTTAAATAAAACGTAAGCTCGTACCTTGATTGTTTATTTGAACAACTCTAATGAGCATTGTTCCATATTGTTGTTTTGATGATATGGATATTTGGTTTAATTCTACACTCTTAAAATTTTGAAAAGTATGGTAAAAAAAAGTATGTTAACCTCTAGACCGCGCAGATATTATCGTCAAAAAAGATTTCATCCACTCCTCTTTCACTATTTTGCTTCGAAACTTAAAAAAAGAAAAAAGCAGTTCTATTTTTAAATTGTCCAACAAGCGACTAGATATTGCACCGCTCTGTGCATATGGTGTCAGCTTCAGGGCGCATTTTCTTTTTACTTTTTTTCCTGCCTGCGGCATCCGGCCCGCCACGCACATCCAGATAAAAGGATTTAAATATAGAACAGGGAAAACGGTAAACCGCAGAGCGCTATAATCGCTGCAGAGGACCATCGTAAACAAATGTATGGAAGGATGCGTGACGACGGTAGACGATTGTGTGTATTTTATCTTCGTCATACATGAAATAAACGTTATTTCAAAACAATATCCCATCGTCTTTTATTTAAAACAAACTTTTTACGTTACTTTTTCCTGTTTTGTATTACTTTTGTTTTATTTTTGCTTTTTATTTATGTTTCTTTATTTTTTTCTTTACAGAAGCTGTTCGGCTAGTGCGCGTTGTTAGTCTTCGTGTTGTTTTAAGTTTCCTCCATGGTTTCCTGTAAGTTTTATTTTATTTTTCTTATTATTTAACATTTTGTTATTATTATTTTCTGTTTTGAAATTATGTTTTTTTATGTGCTAAGTTTTTTAAGGTATGACCTATTATTACTTCAAGTTCAGGATGTATTTATAGGTACTATTTAGACTTTGAGGTATTACAAAATACAGGTACTACACTTAAAGTAATGTTAAGAATCGCCATACACTCAAGGGTACAGTTTATTTTTGTAACGTCTACAGTCCCTGTCATATCCATTACGAGCACACGCGTAAGTAGGGCTTTGTAATTTAATTTTGATGTTGGATTCCGTATTTTACTTTACTTTCAGATTTTATTATAATTGAAGTAGGCACAGAGTAAGAAACTAAAGGCTTGGTTATTAGGTTGCATGTCATGGAAATTATCTTATAATATTTTTTCTGAGTAAATGGTACATCTGAGACTAATGAAAAATGAAAATCAATAAATATAAAATAACTGTGTAAAACTGTGGAATTTATATCGATTTCAATCTCAGATTCTTCCAACTGCTGCGGTACATCAAGGAAAACATTGAAACTTAAACACTACTAATAACATTAGTTTAGCAACATAAGTGTGAGATCTCAGATTTTACAAGCCATCTCAACCGAATACCCTTTTATTCAAAACGTAAAACGTTTCATAAAAGTCCAAATTCAAATCTTATTTGCATAAGTCCTGCTTCTTTGACCTCATGTGACCCTTGTTATTTTATTGCGCACACGTCGAATGTAACGAGTATAATCTGATCCCGCGAATTGACGCGGGACGATAGGCAAGCCCCGAAATGATGGATCGGGTGGCACCAGCTGCTGCGTAGTTCACTTGTTTTGATACGCGCTGGCTAATGGCACGTTAAGGGTTAAATCAACGCGTGGTTGTTCGTTGTTGTGGAGAAAATGCGATAAATGATGGGCTTTTGTATATTTTTTTTTTTTATGAAAATGTAAAGAGACTTTTTTGAGAACAGCATCCGTTTGCTCGGGGTGAACCCCTTTACTACCAAAATGACAAAAAGCAATTAAGCAGTTCCTTTCACAACGGGAAGATTCGCTAAGAAATCTTTTAGTAGAATAGAATAGAATAGAATAGAAAACTTTTTATTTGCAAGAAAGGTATACAAGCAGGTAAGACATAGATTAAAACAGAGAGAAATTAACAAGTGGACAATTAACTGCTTGTGCCCCTCCGACAAAAAGGCACCCGCTCAGCGTACATCAAGACCGTAATTATTTTAGTAATAAATACCACTTCGTTTGAACGACGAAACAGGATGTTTATTTGGAAGCATTCTACGTATTTTAAGGGAGCCTTTAACATGTCTTAATTAAAGTGGTAATGGAGGAGAGTTAATCAGAAAAACGCGATTATTTAAGATTCGTGTCGCCTCCACTCGGGTTTATAACCTCCTTTATTTAGGTTTGTGTTAGGGTTGCCATAATTATGTTGTTCCATTTCATAATTTTAATAATCAGTCAACTTTAGGCGTCGCAAGTTTTTGCATTACTTTGGATATTTTTTGGCATGACCATTAAATTATTTTTATTGAATTCTAGATAAGACCAAATGAAAAGGGAATAATATCTTAACAAACTAGGTGGAAGTATTTAGGTAGATGTATAGAAATAACTTTCATGTACGTAAAGGCTCACGTCACGCGATCTTCGTTGTAAGAATAGTTTAATATTCTAAAATTAAAACACTTCATGCAGTCAAATAATAAAAAATATACAGTTTAAATTGTCACTGGACTCCACCCTACCCATGACAAAGAACAGTGCAAACGGACACAGGAGTGGATTATTGTAGTTCCCTACAGATTGCCGCTGGGACCACGGATATAAAAAAAAAAAGTTTAAATTCCAAACATTTTATATCTTAATGTTTTCGCAGTCATGCATGAAGCGAGAGCGAGCAGACGCGTACCAATATCTTGAATAATATCTTCATTATTAAAATGTCTAATTATTTAGTAACAGAGAAATATACGTGTGATTCCGTGCCTTAAGGGGCACACTCTCAGAGCTACGACAAACGCCTATAACTGGCTGATTACATTTCTGTGTCAGGAGAGAGAGACTCTCTCTACTCAAAACCCAGGACGGGTTCAATTCATGGGTGGGAAAATACATAGATGCTATTTTGGTGCTGTACCATGTTATCAGACGTATTGTACATTTAATCTTTAAGTTGTTATTTATTTGATACTTGCATCAAGTAAATACTTTTCTTTCTTTCTAATGTAAAATGGAGTACCATGTCTGATACCAGGGTTGAACTGATGACATATTTAAAACTAAAAAAAAAACATGTAGTTTTTCACGTAATATCTATCTACATTTTTCGTCAGCCCTAGTGCACATCTTTCGCATATCAAGTGGGATGCTTCGGAAATTTTCCCCGTGTGTGCGGGTTCAACGGATTCATCGCATTGTCTTAATTAAAATTTAACTGTTATGTTTTACGTTAACGACACTAAACATTATAATACAAGCATTATACCTCATTGTAACGAGCTGCGGATTCTCTTACGATTTATAATTAATTTTATGGCCGTAGTAACTGAGAGCTGTACGGTTGGCTGCAGAGTTAATATCAAGTTCTAAACTCAGATTGTTTGTGGTAAAATGATCTTTATTTAGGTAGAATCAAGGTATACAATGTTTGAACGCGTTTGATGTTTAATTACTTCAAATATTGGTGGTTCTATCTATCACAGAAGGGGCTCTACGAAATGGATTATGAAGTTTCATCAAAAGCAAGAGTAACAAATATCCTACCATTCAAATATCCATCCTCATTTTTCACATGTAAAAATTATTTAGTAGGTTTCGGTCATACATTACAATCTTACTGACTTTCAAATCAGTGCGCATACCCATTCCCATATGTAGAGTTAGTACGTAAATCATATTGATAACTAAGCTTTAATCTCGACGAACAACGATGAAAGTCACAATCATAAATAAAGTTTTATGTTTCGCTGCCCTAATTCGGCCACATCTGTGTAAATTGCCAATCTGAAGCTCTTAGAAAACTAATAGCCAATATCATAACACGGTTACGCGCGTAACATTGTGGTCGCATCATGGATAGTAAACATCTGCAAGGTCCGTGTCAAGGGGAGAACGCAGCCTTGGCGCGCAAGGACTCGCGCTGTTTGGGAGCTGTTCTGCAATATTTCAAATCAAATCAAAAAGTTTTTTCCCAATTGTATTGACAAACTGTAGACAGGATGGTATGATATTAGTTACTATACTGTACAGTACACATAATTGGCATCTGCAGACATGTTACTCGTAAAGTACTCGTACATACAACTGAGACTTCATAACTTCGTCTTCATTCTGAACTTTTAGCTTTAAGCTCTATTGCTTTTGAAAGAAATGTTTTTCAAAAGCTTAGAGTCAAAATAAAAATCGTAGTTTGCGAAGGAAAAACTTTTCTTAAGGCTGACTTACACGTTAAGTTATTATGTAGATAGCAAAATTTTAACTTAATTTAAAGTGATCAAATTGCATGTAAACACAAGTTCAGACTTAACAAGTAACTTGTTACTAAATTCTGTGTTTACATGCAATTTAATCACTTAAAATTAAGTTAAAGTTACTTACAACTACTTATTACGTATTGACGTTTCTTTTTGACATTTGTCTTATAAGTTAATTAAAATTATTTTAAACAAACATTACACGTTTTGTTCTGCGTTCACGTTTCTTTTGCAGCGTAAGAAGTTTAGGAAAGCCTTATATCACCTTAACACATCCAACATAATGTTTCGTTCTTTCCTTCAAGGTGTTTGTTGTTGCAATGCAGCTCTATGCTGCAAAAGCTCAATGTGTTATGACATGTCAAGGCAAACCAGTGTTCCACATAAGCAACCTCGGGCCGAAGGATTTCTTCCGGGAGGCCATTCTCAAATAATTTCCCTTGGCGTTTCAAGTGGGAACTGGGTCTAACAATAAACATACATCAAAAATATATCCAAATCTATGTTTATTAGTAGTATGTTTAGTAGTGTTATATTTTTAATACTGCTGTTTGGTTAAATGCGAACTAATGGTTCGATTTAAAATAGTTCATTTATCGAGAAAGGCAAAAATATCTACGAAGCTACGACTCGGGGAAGGAGCGGGGCATAAATGAAAAATGTTGCGAAACGGGAAAATTATTCAAATAATATTCATGCGTACGAAGTCGCTGGCACAACTAGTAAAATTAAAAATGTCAGTTTCAAGAGAACTAAGGCTGAGTTGCACCATCTTACTTTAACTTTGACAAACGTCAAAAATCTGTCAAACTCCATACAAAAAGCACCAGTTAGTGTTATTGGTACGGTTAAAATAAGGTGGTGCAACTCAGCCTAAGTAGATAACATTTATCGAACTGTCAGAAATATAGAAAATGCATAATCTGTCTTAGTCCAGTCATTATAGTAAGTTCACCTCGGAATTCGAGATACCCAGCTGTAAGTCTGTAAATATGTGTATATTGGTTACACCCTAAAAGTTGTCTCAAAACCTACATATGGTAGGGTGTAAGCAACTATTAAATTTCAAGGTCAACTGTCACAAAAATCGGTTTTTTGCGCTTTTTTTTAAAAATATCTCATTTCCTGTGGGTTTTTTGCTATTTGTATTTATTATCAATATTGTAGAATACTAAATTCTAGTAGTAGTCTAGTAGTTTTTGTTTCTATAAGGAACATACAGACGGACAGAATTCTATACATGAAATATATTTTCAAAATAACTATCAGGGGGTGATTAGTGATCGATACTGATGCCAAAAATGCAATCAGTAAAATTTTTGTCTGTCTGTCTGTCCGTCTGTATGTTCCTTATAGAAACAAAAACTACTCGATGGATTTTAACGAAACTTGGTACAATTATTCTTCATACACCTGGGCAGGTTATAGTTTACTTAGGAATTCCCACGGGAACAGGAATTAGCGGGAAAATCCTTTTGTATGAAAA